AAATAATTAACTGTCTCCGCGAGAAACCGAATTTTTTAAAACCTTTGTATATTATTTAAAATGAAGTGTTCTAAATGTTTACACGATAAATTGTCTCGGGAATTTCCCTCCGACACCATAAGTCAGAAGTGTTATCATGTTTCAACCTATTGTTTGAAAGTAAGTTAGTTTAAAACTTTAATAATCCGAAACTTGAATATTCTAAATACTTTTTTTACAGTGCATAGTAATACATTTAAAGTCTCAATCGGGTACATGTCCAGAATGCTCAGTATCGTTATCAACAAAAGAAATTCGAGATTTAAACGATTCCTGGGAAAAAGCTCCATTCAGAATTGATATTGAAAATATTTCACAAATTACGAGTTCAAGCAGTAGTGAATCAAATGAAGTTAATGTAAATGCAGGAACAGCAACAGGGAATATCTATATTGTTTTATTAAACGGAGAAAAACTTACGTTTCAACTTGAGAATATTAAAACAGTTCTTAGTTTGAGAGAAGCAATAAAACATAAAACGAATGTTGAAATTTCAAAACAAAAGTTGATTCATAAAGGCAAAGAATTAAATGTTTGTATTATTATTATTCGTAATTTTCTTTGAACTACATATTGTAAAAGATGACAAATTCATAAAGCTTTTTGATTCAGAATTACAATACAGGAAGAGTGCATAAATATCTAAGCGAATATGGCATAGTCGCCGATAGTCACATTCAACTTATAGTGCTCCTTTGTTCAATTTCCAAAGAACTTTCTATTCAAAATTTAACATTCGATCTGTATTGGGGTTATCCAGCCGGTGGATGTGATTACCTTGACGGCACGTGTATGCTTTATGCCAAGAATACGCATTGGAGAAATTTTGATTATCAATCCACCAATTATATGGACGTTCCAAATATGGCACATTCCGGAGACATTATGGATCATGTCAATCGAAGAGGTAAATATATATAGCATATGATGATGCGTTACTTTATAATTAAATACTTTTTAATATTTCTCAAAAAGGTCATCATCGTATAACGGCAAATCTTTCGGACCTTCCACCGAGTATTACAAAATTATACTTTATTTTGTCAGCATGGAATTCACCAAGCATTGGTCACTTTCCTAATCCAAGCTTCAAAATGTATGATACAACTACACCTCACATAAATTTATGTAATTATACAATTAAAACAGCCAGTCATTCGCAAGCAGTCATAATGTGTTGTGTAGGTAAAAATACAGCTGACAATACATGGGCAGTTTATGAGGTTGGAAAGTTGTCGAACGGAAATGCCAAAGACTATAGTCCTATTATACGTACTATTGGAACTTTAGATCAATTCTTCCTAACTATTTAATTTTAACATTAATTGATACAGTATTAGGGTAATAACATACGTGACCTATTTGTAATGCTTTTTCTATATTTGAAGTATATATAAAATATAATTATTATAAT